TTACAGTTAATATAAAGAGTGTATTAAATCTCTCTTCGTTTCTCATGTAGTGTGCAAAGCAGGAACAGGGAACTAACTTATGCGGCTACTACATATGCGAGTATGCCCACTGCCTATCAAACCAAATATGCACAACACGAGAGCTCGATGTACGTATACATAAACCATTCAAAAGTTCATTGCGTATCGATTTGTTAAGTTGTTTATTAATTTCATATATTGATACGTCATTATTTTTGGAATGATAGCGTATTCACACGAGGGATAATCTCCCACACAAGAATTTTATCACGGCTGTTCAAGAACAACTAATGGGATTCATCAACGAAGAAGTCCTTAATCCCGACGGTGAATTCTACTACGACGGATCAATAATTCATAACGTCGGTCCTTCCTCTTCTGACATAACGCCGGCGTCGAAGTCGAAGTCGTAGCTATAGCTACCGAGCAAATGAATTGTACTATATATGCATGTATATATATATATATATATATATATATATATATATATATATATATATATATATATATATATATATATATATATATATATTTATATATTTATATATTTATATATTTATATATTTATATATGTACACATTTGCTTTTGTATTAATATGTATTTTGGTAACATATATATATATATATGCACATAAAATGTTAAGTAGCTTTAATTAAACATATGTGTGTGTATATAATATATGATTTATACATATACACACACACACATATATATATGACTATATATGTATTGTAACATATGTATGTATGTATGTATATGTGTATATATATATATATATATATATATATAATCAACCATGCAGCAAATAGGGCCATGCAAAAAAAAAAAAGGTCAGCTCGATCTTTAGTCCCGGTTGGTAACGATGGCTCAGCCGGCCACGTGGCTGAGCTGTCTTTAGTCCGGGTTGGTGTTACCAACCGGGACTAAAGATCGATCTTTAGTCCCGGTTATTTCACCCGGGACTAAAGATAGCTATCTTTAGTCCCGGATTCGTAGTCCCGGTTGGACAACCGGGACTAAAGGGGGGTTACCAACCGGGACTACAAACGGTTTCTCCACCAGTGCACGGTAAGCAACAGCTGGCTGGAGGCTGCGACAAAGCGGCTATAAAGTGTACTCCCTCCGTTCCAAAAAAAAAAAACTCAACTTAGAAGGAGATGTAACCCCTTCTAGAACAACGAATTTAGATAAGGAGGGAGCACCTGAATAGGCCCAGTGCTACTAAAAATTGTATGATGGTAATAAAAAAATGTACATGTATAACTCAGAGAATTTTTTTTCTCTCCTTCAATGATGGTTGAGCCAATGCATTGACCTCTGTGGCTCTTCTGCTCAGCACCTCGCGGGAGCTGCAGTAAAACCAAATAGCCTTGTGATAATGTGATGTCCAGCAGAGCAAACCATGCACACAAGGTGGATGGTAACATCTCCCCCCAAGTGTTTATCAACATGGTTCAGTCTTGCAGGCATCAAAGCAAATGCATGTTGACATTGAGACAGCGGCCTTCACCATGACGACAACGGTTGGGTCAAGACCGAAATCTCATCGTATCGTAGCCGAATAGATCTACACCATGATCTCCGGGAAACTTCTCGAAATTTTCATGTAAGAGGCAAACATCACTTCCTGTGTTGGACGTCTCTAGCTTGAACAGCTCTTCCACAACAACAGGATGAGTTTGCATCCTATATGCATGCACTTGAAGATATTTCCAAACACTCATGTTAAGGTGGTCTATTCTCTGCATACTTCAACTGCAGAGAGTTTTCTTGGTTAGCCCATTTGTACAGAGTTTTCAAGCGGTGAAAGTATGTGAAGGTGATGAGATCGTCTTACTATAGAGTATGTACAAAAATGGTTGGTAAATACACGATGCAACTCTCATTGTAATGTCACAAGGAGCATAGTACTAGAGGTGAAAATGGTCGGAATCGGTAACATCTCTTCGGAAACGACGCTAGATCGGTCGGTAATTGACCATATTTAGCATTTAAACTACTCAGTGTCGACATTAATACGATGCAGAAAGAATTAGAAAAAACAAAATTCATAGATAACCAATAATGGTATGGTCGAAAACGGTACCTCTTATATGAAAATGGCGCTCGGTCGATTGGGAATTTCCATGGCCGTTTTCACCCCTACATAGTACCACTATCAATTCCTAAAGAAGCTAGGGTTGTTGTACGATTGTATCGTCTTCAGTAACAATATAATAGTATGGAGAAGTAAATCAGAAACCATGGCATAGGCAAGAAACTTTGTGACTGTCGATCCCTTGCTCAACTGTCATGGTGGTCTGCATCGTCATGCATCCTGTGCCCACCAAGATGCTGGCCGGTTGCCAACAACAACGAGGAAGTGGGAGGGGTTTGCTCCTACTAGCTTGGTGCAGTTACTATTGCAGGTCGCTCAGCTTGCTCATACTAATTAACTAGCTTAGCTGATACACATAGAAGAAAATATCTGCAATAAGCTTGCAAATGATCTGGGCTCAGGTTGGCGTGGACTAGAAAATAGAGATCCTAGCTTGAACAGAAAATGTTAGAGGATCGATGACAAAACAGGGCAAACCGGTCCTTTCTTTTTCATGAGTCAACACGAGATGGTGATGCCCCAGACATCAACGAATCGACAACGAGTCAGGCTTGACATGAATACATGATCTCTTTAGCTTGGAATAAAATCGTGTTTCGTGATTAGCAGTTTAAGTGGATCAATCCACAAATCTACTTATAAGCTAATTAAGTGGATTGACCAAAAGGTTACCCACAATGGGTTAGTGGGTCAGCCCACGTAAAGCCCTACTTGTGATGTTGCTAATCTCTAGTGGCCTCAATCAGTAGTGCAACGGATGGTTGTGTGCCCCCTATTATATTGAGAAACCAGAAACCCCGGTAGATGAAAAATGGACATATCGAATATCAAGCCGTGTTATTTTTTATAAACAAATATAGTCCATGTACATAGTGACTAATGACGCAATAAAAACTTTGATATCAACCTGCAATAAGGATGGATGGACTTAAGGCTGGTTTGCCATATGGGTATCAATGTCCGTCAATTTTAGAGCTGTACATACGTATGTGAGTGAGGGTGTGTGTTTAACAAATGTACACATGTGTGAAAGTGTGAATCCTCTAACGTACGATAGTTATCATATATACGAGGCATTGACATATAGATCCCATAACACATTGGGCCTACATGTCAGTGTTTGGTACAACACTATTGTTATGGCAAACGTCACGAATTGCATGTGTAAAGGATGGTGACAGGTCTATAAGAAATATGCAAGATTTTAAAATTACTTAGACATCCTATGTTTGTCTTAAGCCAAACATTCGTATCTTTGGCTATCAATTTTTAAAAATCTATGTAATTCATCATTATAAGATGTATATTTTTTATATTCACCTTAAGAAATATTTTTACAATATATAGTTTATTACATGTTGTTAAACTATACAGTTTTTTAGAAATTCTTAGTTAAAGATAGACATGGTTATTTTAGAGAAAGCTAGAACTACAAGTAACTTAAAACGTACGGAGGGGTATTTGGATTCAAACATCTAAAAAAGCATTTGAATGCAATCCAAACAATGAGATTATACATTTTAGTTTTTATTTTATATAAAGAAGAAGATTACTCACTATCCTCTACACATAGTCATAAAATTCGAGTTAAAAAAAGTCTCAATAAGGGGAAAATTAAAGAACTCCTATAGAATAGCGAACAAAGCTCAACAAGAGAGAAACCTCCTATGAGATTCAATAAGCAAAGCGTGTACTAAGAAACACATTAAGCATCATTATCTAAAAAAAGAAACACATTAAGCATGATGTGCTAAGAAAAAGCACATTAAGCATGAAACGTATGAGTAGTCCACAATCCGTAGTTAGTAAAAATAATCCTTGATGATAAACTTTAAGAATATGGCTCCAATAAGCATAATATCTTGATCCTTTTGACACTGCATCCTAGGCCAGAAATTAACGCAGCCCGCTGATTCACATGAATAAGACCTGCAAAAAGGATTATGGGTTTTGTTTTTATGAAAAACAGAAACGATAACTCGTCAAGAATTTTATTCATATGTATCAGCTAGCACTGTTTCTGGCTACGATGTGGCGTCAGGAGGATTAAAAAAGAGGTATTATTTTGATTTGTTTTAAAAAAAACTACATCAACAAACAATGTATTTCTTTATCAGTAATACAATAATACAAATCAATGATCGGAACTGTATGTCGAAAACGATACCGATGCAAATTAAACTACAGGGAGAGAGTATGACGTAAGGAAACAATACTACCTAACAAAGATTATATGCACATTAAAGAATCATCTGGAGCGTTAATTCGACACAGGTAAAGGTTTCTGGCCGGTCAGTCCGCGTACGTCTCCCCCGATATTGTCCCCATCACACGGTGCAAGAAGAAAGAAACGCTAGCTAGCCACACCACCACCACACATGTAGGGAAAACGATTCTAAACTTTCAAGAAAACGTCTTCTTGCTATTTACATATTATTGAAAAAAATATTTTTTTAAAAAAAACATAGATTAATATTGGACTATAAATATACGACGTTCACTACCTATGGTCTTGTTTTTTAATATTTGTTGGAGAAATTGAACTTTAACTTAAAGTGGTATAACTAAAAATTAATCAGTATTATTACCTTTTTTTTAACTATTCAGATAATACGCAAACAAATAAATGGTACTATGGGTCTGTTTGGCACAGTGCCAGCTCCAGCTCCAGCTCTAGCTCCACATCCACCTTCCCTGGAGCTGAAGCCCAGTTAAACAGTTTCAGTTCCATCTAAAATAGAAACAGAACTGGGTAGAGCACTCTCACAAAATGTAAAGAGATGGAGCTAGATTTAGATTGCTCCACAAATCCACTCTAGACACAACTTCTAAAGCTAAATTTAGAAGCTACTGCGGCCAGAATCCCCTCTCCACTAGCTGGTACTACTACGTGCACGCCAACCTTTTTATCACAGAGCCCCAGTGCTCGGTGCTCCCCTCTCCCCACCACCAACACCACCACCACCACCACTACTACCCCTCTTCTTCTACCTAGCTAGCTCGTTTCCATCCATCACTAATCTAGCTAGCTAGCTCGATCAGCTCTGTTCCCTCACTTCCCTGCTTATATACACGCCCCCCATGTGTGCTTCCTTCCATCCCATGTGTCCTAGGTTAGCTAGCTGATCGATTAGCCTCGTCAGCTACAAGTGATCGATCGATCGATGTCGTGGTGGATGCGGCAAAGAGGAGTGAGAAGCCAACCCAAGATGATGATGGCGGTGAGAGGTTGCTGCTGCCGGGAGGTGGTCGTGGCGCGAGCCGTGTGATTGCCTGCTCCTCCTCCGATCCTGTGTGTGCATGCGTCTCCGTGCACGGCGAGGATGTGCGCCGGCTGCCGTGTCGCCGCCGCCGCCGGAGTCTCGTCGTGAGAGAAGCAAAAGATCGAACACGTTGTGTGCGTGTGTGCGCGCGCCTAGCTGAAGCTCAGTTTCTTTGGTTGGAGTTGAAGCCGGCCGGCTAGCTAGCTGGCCATGTGGAGCGTGGCGTCGCTCGTCCGGCAGGGGCTGCGGTGGCGGCGGCGGCGGCGGAGGAGGACGGCGCGGGTGGTGGACGAGAGCGCGCTCGCGGCGGCGGATGGTGGCGACGCCGCCGCGCCTGCAGGTGGCGGCGGCGACGCGGCGGCGGTGGCGGTGGTGCCGATGGCGAGCGTGGGCGCCGCGCTTGCCAGGGCGCTGCTGGCGCTGGCGTGCACCATCCGCTTCGACGGCGAGGACGGCGGCGCCGGCGCGACGGAGGAGGCGTGGGCGGCCAGCGGGTGGCGGCCGCGCGCCGACGAGGTCAGCCACCTCATGGTGCGGGAGAGCATGCGCTACGCCATCTACGCGTAGCCACAGTAGATTAATTAAGTAACTTAATTACTAGGAGAGGTTAATTAATTAAGCACGTATATATAATTATATATACATGGAGCATATGTATTTGTGTACGGTTTGGTAGGGTACGTGATCGTATACGTATGTAGGTTGTGATGCTGTATAGTACATCACTGTATAGAGTACGCGTGATGCATCTTGGATGTACGTGTAGGTCACTACTACTGCTACTACAAGCGCCATGGTTCGTGACTGGTTTGTCTTGCCTATGTGACATTCTGAGTGATTCATGATGTGTTCCTCTTTTGGTTTTTGGTTTTTGGCTCTTAAATCTTTTAAACATTTTGGTGATGTTTGCGTGTGGTATCTGGAATCTGGAGTACACTCCTGACCTTTTTAAAATGCTTCTAAACATAACGAGAAAGTTGGCATGATAGCCATGCAAATCAGCATATTCATGGTTTGAAACTTTGAATGAGTATGTTTGTGTTCATGATGTTGCCTTGGGCGACATCTGTCATTATCTCAGAACAAGCACATGACAAGCTTCATTTTCTGAAAATTTAATTTGACACGCTGCAAGTTCAGGTGTTTTCAGTTTTGGGATTTATGATTGACCCAAACACCGGTGCAAATCTTGGTCGGATTAAGGAAACAATCATCTTCCGGAAGCACCAGAGATGTAACACATCAGAAATCTAGTTGCCACCATTACACGTACGGATGTGTTTTTAATAGGAATTTAATTAGGTTAGGTATTTATGATGGTACCGAGAAACAAAAGAAACTGTTGAAAGTTGGATGTCATTTAAGCAATTATATATATCATGCAGATCATCTCTAATTAATAAATAAAAGAGTGAACTGTTTATTGAACAAGTAAATTGAAACTTATCTCATTTCGCACCGAATTTAGAATGTGCTTTCATTTCGCATCAAGGTAAATCGAAATAAATTTCATTATGCATTAGGGTGCATCATGAAACCTAAATGGAACCCTGCGAAATATGGTCAAAATTCACGGGCGTCATAAGGTTTTGATCATGTTTCACAAGGTTTCACTAAAATTTCACGACACTACCTGCTGCATGCACAGTCGGTTTAATTTGGACATATCATGGTGCAAAGTGAAACAAAGTGTGCTATTCTTGAACAAAGTGTAATTACTCTCATCAAATAAGCAAAGCATTTCAACACACAGGTTCAAATGGTTCTAGGATTTATACATGTGCAATGATGTCCGTACATCTTAATTCATCAGAGGAAAATGGATGACAATGACAATAAGGAGAGTGAGCTGACACCTGTAAGAGGTCAACCCAAACAACTAATAGGAATGTGCCAAAATAGGGTTTCATTGAGGTCAGCTCAGGCCTGAGAATCCCAATCTGAATAGGCTGATCATGGTGGCTGGTGAGGATCATGCATAAGTGCAGTTCAGGGCCCTCCAAATATCCAAACGTATTCCCCTCCACAAGAACTGGGCCAGCAATCCCCTTCCCTAATATGCAAGTTGCGCAATTTATATGTGACATGGACAGTGATAATTAGCGCATTTTCGCTGACTTTTTTAGAATGCCAATCAAAATATGACAATGAACCAGCATATATGCTTGAATCTCCTAGTTTAATGGTGGTATTTTTTATAAGTGGCTATTGAGCTAGTTCCAGGTACGTTCTAGTAGCACCGAGGCATAGATGCAAATAATACTATAGGTGATATGAGATATGGCGATGATTTCCATCCATTAAAAGGATTTGTTAACTCAGTGATTCTGAATATTAATAATACTACGAGATAATGTGAATATTAGCCATAATAAATAACAACTGTGGTTTATCCGGTCATTGAAACTCCATATTTTTCATTGTCATCGCCCAATTAGCTTATTTCTGGTTATCTGCTTCAGAGTCTTAGACAGGACTGAAATTGCATATAGATGTAAACCCAATAGGACCATTGAAACACATTCAAAAACGGACTTGATTTATCATTTTATCTTTGATGGAATGATATGTTTCACCACCTACCATTTTCACATATCTAATCTAGATTTGAGCAAAAAGACAAACAGTGCAAGCAAGCTTAGCCAGTGCTGCTGATAGATTAGATTATACAGATTATGGTGGAGATTGCAGACTTGCACCTGCAGACAGAAAGTAAAAAAGGCACAGGAGAGATCAGGATTTGGTGGCCAGCTAAACACAGGGTCCTCTCCCACTGTTCTATGCATATCACTAATTTGTCGTTTTGGTTTTTAGTTGATACGTTTGCAGTGTACCTAGGTAGGGCCACCATCCATGATGGATGCAAAATCTCACTGCACAATACCTGCTCTTGTTGGGTATGTGATAATCTCTGAGTTGACAATGCTTCCATTTCCTCCTACTAGTAGTACTATATGTGATCCTACCATTCAGCTTCCAGATCAAGATAAATGGATCTTGCCCCCCTCTTGCCTTTTGGGCTTGTGGTAAAGATCAATGGAGATAGTCAACACCCTAGATACATACTCTGTTTCAGTATCATCATGTCAAAAGTAGTCGGCAATGCAATGCAAGTTGTTCCTTGGAAATACATGCAAGGGGGGTGGGCCAGAGGTGGCCATCAATGGCGATCGATGACCATGTCCTAAGACACCATGGGGGGTGCAACTTGCCATTGTTTGAGGGCACCAGGTACAAGGGTCAGCAGGGACCAGGGAGTTAGATAAGCACATAAAAGCTTAAGCTTTCTTCGCCGAGGATAATGGAGAAACACTTGGCACTTTTGATGGAGGAGAAAGGCGGAGGTTCGCCTCTCGGTTGAAATCGACAACTCGTTTGGTAAACGAGATTCAGGATAAATTTGTATGCTAAACCGTTCTACATGGTCACCACTCTACACATACTTCTGTGGGTGTCATCATTTTTCTCTCCACTTTGCCAGTAAATGATTACACATGGTAAAATTGTTGTCGGGCATGGAAAAGAAACTAGTAGTAACAAACTGAACCTACACGCTTCAGTAAAAAAACTTCACCCGATTATACCGATAAGTATCACCAATTTTGCTTCAATCTCCATCCGAGCAGTTCACATTTCACAGCTCTAGACTGATTGATCTGCAAAATGAGTTGACAGATTATCTCAAGGACAGAACATCAAAGCAGAAAAGGGAAGAAAAATTATCAGGATAGTGCTCTGTATGTCAAGGCACGCTGAAGCGAGAGTGAATAGACTAAATGGTAAGCAATCTACCAAATCACCAATAATTTCAAAACAATATCTTGAGCACGAACAACTCACTCACTAAACAACATCAGTGCACCGCGAAAACGAAATGACACGAAAGAAAAGAAGAAGAGGGGAAACCACTCACCACTCTCACCAATCACCATTGGCAGCTGACGATCTGAGGGCGTCCAAGACACGTTTCTCACCTGTCAGTTCTTCCACGAGCCCTTGCAATAATCAGAACCAAAAAAAAATAGAGAAGAGATTTTAGAAGCGATTGAGTCATCGACGATTTTCAGATAACTAAATGAGATTTTTCTTTTTCTTTTCTTTTTTTTTTAAGAAGCGATCGAGACGCATCAACTCCATCACGAGGTGGCAGACCAACCGTTGGTGAAGTCTCGGCAGTCGTGCCGCCCGACGACCAGGTCGGTCGGCCACCGCGCGGTGAACGCGTCGGCGGCGAGCACCGCCGCGGCGGCGCCGGCGCCGCCGCCGCTGCGGTGGTGGCCGACGAGCCAGCACCTCGTGTCCGGGACCCTCCGCAGCGTCCTCCTCCGGACCACTCCTGCAACCCGCCATTGCAGACACTTAGTTACTTCTTGATTAGCATGCACTGGTTCTCGCCATGGATGCGCGCGCCGACGAACTTACCGGGGATTTCGCTCCGCGAGAGCACGGCGAAGGCGGCGAGCGCGTCCTCCGGGTCCCGTGGCTGGAAATCGAACACCAGCGCCTGCAAACAACCCCGCCATGGCGAAGACGATCGAGAAATCTCGAGAAATCGAGGTGAGAGGAGAGGAAGAGGAAGAGAAGAACGGATTGGGTGGGCTGACCTGGGCTCGGGCCGGGTCGGGCCGGAGGAGCACCATGAAGTGCTGCAGGTCCCAGAGGCCCAGCGAGTAGCCCGCCGACATCAGGGCCTGGGCCGGGCCCTTCGGCCCTCGCAGGGGCACCGCCGCGACGTACACGGCGGCGGCGTGCCTCCCCGCCGGCGTCGCCGCCGGCAACGAGGCGGACACCGCCATTGCGTCAGCCGTGGCCGCTCGTGAACGGACTTATCTGAAAAAATTCTGGTTTGTCACAAAGTTGAGTGGTTCTCTCAATTCTGCCACAGAATTGAGTGGTCTTTGATCATCTGGCTCGTTCTTTTCAACTTATTTATCAGATTTTTAAAATTGATTATTTGCTTCATGTTTCGAAGCATATGTTTTCTCAAAAAGTTTTTTTTGCCTATTGCATTGCTTAGAACACTTGTTTTAATCTATTTGTTAAATTATTTTTAAAAATATTTAATTTATCCATGTATTCATATTAATAATCCACTCAATAATCTAAATTAAACAAACCAAACAGCCTCACAACAAATTCCCAACTAGCATTTCAGACAGATTTCAGATATACGGCCAGAAACTGAAACAATTCATTGCATCACACATATGTACCAAAATGTAGTAGCTAGGGGCGGCAGCCCACAATAGTGCCAGGCGTCAAGGTATCAAGCTGAACATCCATCCCCAAGAATACAGCAAAAGAAAAAAAAAGAAGAGAAAAGAATGGCTACGTAGGAGTGGTAAAATAAAAAGAATAACTATCCGTAGCTCAACACAAATTCTCAAAAGCTCTAGCCCCGCCATGCTTCTGCTACACAGGAGAGGTGAAGACTACACTTAGATCATATGATCAGAGAAGCGCATAGCACCAGCAGCGCGACGATGATCGAGGCGTCGGTCCGCATCTTGATGGCTCGTGAAGCGCCCGGGGCTGGAGCTGTGACGTTCTTGACCGGCGGTAGGGGTGATTCCGCGACGTCGGAGTCCGTCAAGAGAGGCATTGGCGCCATTGCTGGTGGCTGTGCAGCTGGATCGATGATGGTCCCGCTGAGGCCACCGGGCTGGACAGGCAGCATGAAGGTCGGCAAGTTGCTTTCCTTGCTCGTGCAGGGGCTCACTGCACAGGTGAAAATCCAACGGCGGAGGGTGAGCGAAAAACTCGTTCAGAAATGTTCAATGCAGAGGACTGAAATGATTTAAGGGTGAGGTGCTAAATGAGAGTGTTATGAAAAACTTACGTCTGTATCTGTGCACCGTCGCAGGGAAATCTGTGATGATCCCATCCACTCCAGCACCTTTCTTCTGCACGTATGTGTTGATCTGTGTTGTGGCGTCTGCGAAGAAGTCATTCGGTTGCGAAACAAACTCGTTCATGAGCACGTAAACATAAACGGGAAGGCCAGCGGACTGCAGGGTCTGGACGATATGACTGGTCTGGTTTATCAAATAATGTTTGCTCTCCGGGTAAATGGACGTTGTGCGGACTGAAACAGCATTAGCAAACTTCTTGATATCTGCAAGGGAGGAAGGTGCAGCATCTCTGACATCCTCCTCAAGCATGTAAACAAGGTTGTACTTGGTTTGCTCCTTGAACTTCACTAGTACTGAGCTGTTGGTTGACTGAATCATGACTTTCTGGGCAGTCTGTTTGCTATAGCCGGAGTCATCAAGGGCTTTGATCACCGCATCTACTACACCAAATCCAAGTTTTTCTGCCATGAATGCAGCATGCTGCAAAAATTGAAAAGGAAATGGAACTGAGAATGTAGTAAGGGCCATGAGGAATTGCCACATCTCCAGAAATATGCATTTTTATAATAAATATTTTGAAGAACTTTACTTTGGTTTTTTTGCTAGCTTACTCAATAAGCAATAGTAAATAGCAAAATCAATTTTAAATTTAGCAACCATACATTATGCCACAAAAACAAAGCCCACACTCCATTGCACATTTACACATTGTTCCAGAATCTACAGGTGTACACCATGAGGCACAGAAGTCATCAAGTTTTTAAGTACTAAAGAGGTTCAAGTATGCACAAGTTAGCAGTTTGTTTAATTCTGTAAAACAAAATCCAAAGAATTCAGACACAAGATTGATTATGAATCCACTAATGTACCAGAACTATCGCACCATCTTGGAGGATTATTTACTTATTTGCAAATTAGCCATCCCAAAGACCGCCTAATTATTTTCATCGAAGTTCTACCTAAAAGCCAACACTACAGCACAAAAGCATTCAGATATGGATCTGCGATAGAAAATCATCATTACCAAGTATTAAATCATTACCTCTATACTGATCATGACTCCTGACAACTCCTTTCCTTTTGCAAAGGCCAAGAAGTCCGATAGTCTCATGAAACTTCCTGCATTCTTGTTTCTAGGATTTCTGTACACATCAAATGTGGTCATTGGGTTTGATATCTTGGCTGCAAATATGAAAAACGTCAGTCTTGGCAAATGCATGATGAATGCAATAAATTTCATAGATGAAACAAAACAGATGATTGATGAAGATGAACCATGACTTGTTCACCGTTTAACTAATTGTACAACAATGAGATGACTCGAGCATACTTATACATACATAACTTAAGGCTTACAGGCCCCACTATCATGATGTATATTTGCATATCAATACAAAATTTAGTTTTACCAAGGATTTCAAAATTGACTTACGCTTCAGGTTCTTCGCAATATCATCCCATGTGAGGTTGAAGGAATAGACTCCAGCACCATTCTTGATATCTTTTATGACAGTCGTTTGAGAAGAAAATTGTGACGTTGAAACAGTAGTGACATCCATTAGGTCAATGGAACTCATGCATATAGGTATGCCATCTTTGGTTACTTGTACGGGACAGTCGATGACATCTGCACCATCAGTAACTGCCTTTTGATAAGCTAGGTCAGTGCAATCTGGGTAGTCACCACTAGCACCATTGTGGGAGATGATGAGAGGTTTCGCTGCAAGTAAAATGTCAAGACTGGAGTTCAATACTACATTAATATAGGGAAGTTGCATGCATGAGCAAAGGAAGCAAGCATACCATTGTCTGTCTTGCTGTTGTTGAGGTTACTAAAGCAACCTGCAGGGACAATATATAAAATAATTGAACAGAGAACAAACATCCTGAATTTCTTGAACAAACATCCATAGCATTGTAAGAAAAGACACAACATCCAACTCACCAATGGCCTCTGAAGGGGTAATAGGGAAATCAGTCAATACACCGTCAACAGAGAAGGCACCATTATCAATGAAGTTAAGATATTCTGTTAATGGATCATAGCTGTAGTTGTAGCTGAGCAAAAAGTCATTTGCAAAATCAGCGGCATAAACTTCTAGTCCTGCTTTATGAGCATCACCAACGACCGATGTGCTGGGCTGCAGATAATTGTCTTGTGTTACAGGCCAGATATAGTTCTTAGGGACAAGTATTCCAGATGCAAAAGTCTTGATGAATGTTAGATTTTTCAACATTGAGCCATATGTCTGGTTTGTAGATGGCTCAACAGCGAGTTCATTAAGAAGCCGAAACACAAGCTTTGTCTTCTTGTTAACTCTTCCTGATAAACTGGTAAGGAAGTTCACTTCAGGTGATGAGATGTAGTCAGCAATATATTGTTTTGAAACAGACAGGATATAGCTTCTCATACTCAGATTAAACTGGCTATAGAAACTGTCATGCTGCAATTTGCACAGAGCAGCTGTTAGAACGAGGGGAGTATCACTTAATTCATAGTTGACTTGAAGTAATTAAAGTTTCAGCTCTACCTGCACATTTAGCCAAACAGCAGGGGCCTTATAATTAGCAAATACAGATTCAACAGGAAGTATGGGTAAAGTTCCATCATAGTAAGGCACACGGGAGAATAGGGATTGTACCACTGCAAATATCAAACTTAGTTAAGACAAGCAGAAGATCTGCATTATTCAAGAAGAAACTATAGGTTTTGTATCTCTTTTATGGTGTTTCAAGAAACAACGCGCATATATTTGAGCATTTTTCTTCTCCCAACACACAAGAAACAGGAGATTACTAGTCTACAGTTCACTTGATAAAAGAAAAGGATAAAAGAATATTAGAATTACAAAATTGTGAGTTTCACTTACAGTTTACTTTACTCAACCCAGTGCTGTCATAGTCCACGGAAAACCACCCAGGCGTAGATACACCATTGACACTGTAAGTCTTCTTCCCCTTTGGATAAACATTAGCTATGTTTGTGCAATTATCCATTCGTATGTCCGGAAGGCAGATGCCTGCACCATCCTTGGTTAATTGAACATCACACCACAGGGCTGTATCCGGAGAGCTGGCCGCCGCAACAAAGCCATAAGCAAAATCACTGGAATCAGGAAAAAGGCCTGAAAACCCGCCCTTGGCGATGATTGCTGGAGGATTGCCTGAAACAATGAAATGACTTAGTTAGGCTTTCCAGACCGTCCAAAAGAGGTGGATTTTCAGCGCACTGCCGCAGCACAGAATCCATAACTACAATAAACAGACGAGCATACAACTCGTTAAACTTAAAATGTGTTAACCAGCTAACAATCGATCATTATCATTGGTAAATCAGTAAGGAAGTCACTCCTTGTCCTTGAAGTTCATATACATCGAGCACCACTCCTATTCTCACAACCTCCAGGTGAACATGACAAGCCTACAAGACAGTGACTTGAGAAAATCCCACCCTGAGATGCACATAAGCAATAAACATCTTGCGGTCATGCTGTAAATTATTAACACACAGACTGCTGCGACAATGGTATCCTAACCCAAATGTCACTCACCTGAAAAGGTTACCGTACCAAATTTTTTTAAGAAAGAAAAAAAAAGGAAGCATTATATGGCCGGCCACAAGCTTCCAGTCAGAAATCTGGTCACCCAGGCGGTGCTAAACATCAGCAAAACTATCTTGCTGAAAGAAAAAATAGAACCTTGAGCAAAAATAAGCATTCACCTCATCCTCATCCTAAAGATCCAGCCCAAACAGTGGGACAAAACCAAAAATTGCTGGTAAAGAAGTAACCTCTCGAGCCCAAAACGCAAGAACATCCCAGATCAGATCACTAAGCAGAGAACCAAGAAACGAAGGGAGGACCAGTGAATGTTACCGCTCAGTGTCTTCCAAGTCGAGGCCTTCTGCGCGGCGGCGGAGCCCAGACAGAACAGCAGCAGCAGCGACGACCCAAGAACGGAGCAGCCATGGCTGCCCCTCCCCATCGAAGAACACCACCAGCTGAACCAGCGGCTCCTCCAAGAACAGGGAGCTCCAAGCTCACCTCCAACCCCGAGATGGGGGCGAACCGGAGGCGAACCGGAGGCGAGGCGAGGAGCCAAGAACTGCTGAGGCAATGCGCGTTCGTACGGCAGCAGCTGGATTTGAAGAGCGAGAGAGAGACAAAAGAAATGGAGACGGGGAGAAGGGAGGGAGGCGAAGGCGAAGGCGATGATGCTGCTGAGCTGTGGTGATGAAGCCAACAGGAGAAGGTGGCACCAGGGGAGGAGGTGGTCGTCAAAAAAATGTGAACCTTCCTGACTCTCCAAAAAAAAAAAAGGATCATCTTTTTTTTTCTCATTGTTTTGTTTGCGCTTTTTTCTTCTCGCTGATGCTCCTGTCCTGTGTGTTGTGTACGTCCACGAAACGAGAGAAAAAAAAAGTGGGGTTGAGTTTGCGTGATATTCTAGGAGAGAAACAGGGTGTTGATTGGGGGTGAAATGCATGTGGGTTTGATTTGATCAAAATCAGGCCGAAATGCGTGTGTTTTGATTTGATCAACCAATCATGCTCCACCGTTGATTTCGTAGCATACCGAGAGAGCATAAGTTGGGAAATGGTCGTCAACTCTTACTGATAGGTTGTGTGGGGTTTGTACTTTGTAGGTCCCATGTAATTTTCAAGGTGATTAAGTTCATGAAAATTAGGTTAAGTTTTTATAAGCCTTATTCGAAATATAGAAATTTGAAAGATTTTTATACGAATTTTACTAATTCATATGAAAATAGAAATTATATTAGTTGCTACGAAAGCCTTGATATTTCTCATATTTGAGAAGAGCATCAATTCAAGAATAGATAAGTGTTCTTTATGTTAAAAAAAACTCGGGGACAAGAGACGGGAATTGATGAAGCTTTTTTTTTCTTTTAATAAAACTAGAGGATTGTCCCATGCAATTTATGTGGTGCAAGTCAGAGTAAGACATGAGCAACGAGGGCATGGGCGGCGTAAGCAACACCGGCGAGGGAGGAGGCGATGATGGGACCCCTCGGACGGCACTCCTTCGACGCATTCTGCAGCCGATGTGCATGGTAAGGGGAGGGAATAGAGAGAAGAGAAATGAGAGCTGACATGTTGGTCTAGGGGTATTTTCTGATATTTCACACAATTTATTTTCTATTCAATTGAAAATGAATATTTTAATAGGTCATATGTCCATGAGTAAATATCTAACTTTTAGGATCTCTCTCCCAAAACTTTACTCTTGCATTGTCTTACAGCTAAAGTCAAAAAGTTACAATATCATGTAGCAACATTTGTCATGATTATTCATGTTTTGAGATAAATATAAAAATTTTAACTGTTAAATTTAACTTATGTAAAATGTAATCCACAGTAGATTAAGATCTAGAGGTGTGTCAAACAGTTATAGTAAAATAATAGATAGTTATTAGATTGATCCTTGGGTTTGAAATTACTTAGAGCAAGATACAAATTGTACTATGAATTATCGATGGTTTGACAGCAATTTATACGGCGAGGCTACATGCTTCCAGACTGATCAGTTCGATAAAGCATATGGTTTTCAATTTTTCATTCACATCGAATTTCAAAGTTGTGTAATTAACCGTTTCCTATTTTAGAGCAAACAAAGCTAAAAATGCAGAGACCTATAGCAATTGGAAAGTAAGCATTACAATCTTCACGAGCCATTAATTTTAGACCTAAACATCCATTTTAAGGCTATGATCGGTATTTTCCAGCCCTCTTTCTCGTGTTCCGTTAGCACGCTTTTCAAACTGATAAACAATGTTTTTTTTTAAAAAAAAAATTATATACGAAAGTTACTTAAAAAATTATATTAATCTATTTTAAAAAAAATAATAATACTTAATTAATCACGCGTTAATAAATTGTTTCGTTTTCTATGCGCAGCATAAGTGTTCCCAACCTTATATCCGAACACAGCCTTATTAATAATAGGACCTAAACATCCATAGCTAGTGACACGCAGGTCGCGCCAACCAGGCAAAACACAAAAATGGGCATGGCCGTGCGGAAAATTTCCCCCGTCCTGACGCAACAAAAAGGGGCTCGATCGCCCACAGTACAGGCGTACTATGTGTGTACAGGTAGCATAGCCGCTGCGAGTACGTACGTGGTCGCACCGCACCGGAGCCTCGGTGGATAGGCGGTTTTCGCATACCACCAAAAGCTGGGGGACCCCCTCGGAAACCAGTGCTCCGGGGAATAAATTTATCGCGTGGCGCGGCGTGCTGGCTGCTCCCCCCCGAATCGAAGCCCCATCTCCTGCGAAACACCGATGATGCGCGAAACCGATGTGGCGCCGCGCGCGCACATGACAAGAGATGAGCTCTCGTACTACTAACCTCCTGCGGTTGGTTGGTTGGTTTGCTGCGTCCAAGTGGAGCAGTTAGTTGGGTGTCTCGTACTAGTAGTACTCCTATGTGCGTGTGTTGCTGCGGGCTCAGCGTTCCACGCGCGGGTTCTGTTGGCCCGCGATCGACGGGAACCGAAGCGAAGCGCCGATCGAGATGGAGCGGCCAGACAGGAGGCGCCGTCCACCCAACGAAATGTACGCAACCAAAAACGTCTTGGATGACGCGGCGCCTCCTCTCTCTCTCTCTCTCCTGGTACTTCGATTGTTTAGAAGGGCACGTGCAACCTGTATTAGAGCAAGTTTAATAGTATAGCTAAATACTAAGGCTGTGTTTAGTTCACACTGAAATTTGGAAGTTTGGTTGAAATTGGTACGATGTGGTAGAAAAGTTGTGTGTGTATGAAAGGTTTGATGTAATGAAAAGTTGAAAGTTTGGAAAAAAAAACTTTGGAACTAAACAGGGCCTAACTCCAAATCATCTATAGCCAATTCATACAATAGTAGTTTACTATATTATTAATACCTAATCCTACCTGTCATACACATATTATGTCTTGGAGTCCGTGCTGCAGCTGGCTACAGATCTGTAGCCCGCTGCTCTTCTCTCTCTTTATTTATCTCTTTAAAATATGTTTATAGCTGGCTTATAGCCTGCTATTGTACCTGCTCTTAGGGCTGTTTGGTTGGAGGCTAACTTTACCATAACTCCATTTGCTATTAACTGTAGCAAAAGCCACATATTTACACAAGCCACAACTACTACGGTATAAGCTTTGGCTAAAAAAACTAGAGTATGACGCATGGGCCAGTATGCTAATGAAATATGAAATTGCGGCTCATCTAAAGTTTGGTGTGGCAAACTAGCCACCAACCAAATAAACGGTCACTAAGGTCCTGTTTGGATTCGGAGGACTATTAAATAGCCCTCCGAAATCTTACTGTTTAGGAGTATTAAACTTAGATTACCGATAAAACCGATTCCATAACCTCTAGGTTATTTTGCGAGACGAATCTAATGAGGTATATTAATCCATGATTTGCTACAGTGATGCTACAGTAATTAGCCGCTAATCATGTATTAATATATATCATTAGATTCGTCTCGCAAAATAGCCTAGGTGTTATGGAATCGGTTTTATTGGTAATCTAAGTTTAATACTCCTAAATAATAAGATTCCGGAGGGCTATTTAATAGCTCGGAGGATCCAAACAAGGCCTAAGTAACTAAAGAAGAAAAAAGAAAAAACATCCTTTGTTATCTTGATTTCTGTTAATACATTTTTCAAATTATTAAACGTGCAAAAGTTATACTCCTTCCGTTTCAAAATGTAAGTCATTTTAGCATTTACCACATTCATATTGATGTTAATATATCTATCTAGATTCATTAACATATATATATAAATGTGGTAAATGCTAGAATAATTTACACTGTGAAACGGAAGAAGTATGTATGTATGTGTGTATATATATATCCTAAATTATTTAAATTTATAATAATTAAAACTAATTAATCACGCGACTTTTTGGTTCTGTGTGTCCTACTTATTCTTATCTTCGTCGTGTTCAAATGGATAGGAGATGGTCAGTTGCGCAGTTGTGGTCACTAGCCCAAGGAATATGAAGTATGGAACAGACCCATGCACCCAGATGGGTTTGTTTCTTAAAACACTGTGTCAGATACTTAGATGTTGTTAATGTTTGCTTTCTACCGAACCTGCGTGCTTAATTAATTATAGTCGTATATAGGATAGAGAGGAGGGTCAAAAACTCCGGTGCATGTCAATTTGCCACTAGGTTGTGCATTGGGACGCGTTCATCGGTTCATGGATAAGTAACAGTGGGATTTTCTTTTATATAAAAAGGAACTGCCTATGCATCACTCGGGTAATTTTCGAGAAACCACTTAGATTTGCATCCAACGGACTACAAAATAAATAACTAATATAAATTTACTTACACAATATTTTTATCAAAATTACAGTGCAATTACATGTCATATCAACTAAATTTACATATGTAATTTTAGTTATATAGGACTGTCATTTTATATTTAAAATAAAATAACTAATATAAATTTACTTACACAATACTTTTATCAAAATTACATTGCACTTACATATCATATCAACTAAATTTATATATGTAATTTTAGTTATATAGGACTATAATTTTTACATTTGGAATAAAATAACTAATACAAATTTACTTACACAACATTTTTATCAAAATTATATATGTCATATCAAATAAATTTACATATGTAATTTTAGTTATATAAGACTGTAATTTTATATTTGGAATAAAATAACTAATATAAATTTACTTACACAATATTTTTATCAAAATTACAGTACACTTACATGTCATATCAACTAAATTTACATATGTAATTTTAGTTATATAGGACTGTAATTTTATATTTTAAATAAAATAACGAATATAAATTTACTTACATAACATTTTTATCAAAATTACAGTGCACTTACATGTCATATCAACTAAATTTACATATGTAATTTTAGTTATATAAGACTGTAATTTTATATTTTAGTTTCAAATGTCTTAATTTTTCAACCATTAAAGAAATCAATTTTTATTTAGAAAAGAACTGGGCCTAAGCATCCAACGCACGGCCTTATCCACGCGTGCAGCCCCACCACTAATTCTTGGCCCACATATCGTGCGACTAAAAAAACGTGAAATGGCTAAGAAAAAAATCACACGACAGACATGTAGCAAAAACCTATAAAAAGATAGTAGGATTCATCTTCTTAACCATGGGCTTGATCGTTTAAACTAAGCCAAATCCTGATGACCCAACCAGAAACCTAGGCCCTATTTGGTTCTATGGACTAATGTTTAGCCCTCACATTTTAGCCTCAAATTAGC